TATTCTAGAATACTCATTATTTTGCAATGTAGTTTATAGCTTATCATGATTCACACTATGCTTTGCATAGTCAACAAAGCACAGACAAACATCTTTCTGATATTCTCTGCTTTCGGCCAAGATCCATCTGATGTCAGCAATGATATCCCTCATTTCACGTCCTTTTCTGAAACTGGCTTGAACCTCTGGAAGTTCTCTGTCAGTGTATGGTTACAGCCATTTTGTATTACCTTTAGTAAAACTTTACTCACAAGGAATATCAATGATATTCTCCTATACTTTCCTACACTGTCCAAAGAGAGGGTTACCTCTCTTTGGAATGGGCACAAATAAGGATCTCTTCCAGTCAGTTGGTCTTTCAAATTTCTTGGCAAAGATGAGTGAGAATCTTGAGTGCTGCATCAGTTTGCTGAAAGATTTCAATTTGTGTTCCATCAATCCCAGAAACCTTGCTCTTCATCAATGCCTTCAGTGCACCTTGGACTTCTTCCTTCAGTGCCATTGGTTCTTGATTATATGCTATGTCCTGTAATGGTTGAACACCAATCATTTCTTTTTGGTGCAGTGACTCTGTATATTCAATCTTTTTTGATGCTTTCTGCATCATTTAATATTTTGCCCATAGAATCCTTCAATATTTCAAACTGAGACACGAATTTCTTCTTTAGTTCTTTCAGCTTGAGAGCTGCTGAGCATGTTCTTCTGTTTGGTTTTCTAACTCTAGATCTTTGCACATTTCATTATAGTATTTGACTGTGTCATCTCCAGCAGTCCTTTGAGATATTCTGTTCAGCTCCTTTAACTCCCCATTGCTTCCATTTGCTTTAGAATCTCTATGATGGAGACCAAGTTTCAGAGCCTTTTCTAACATCCGTTTTGGTCTTTCCCCCCTTTCTTGTTTTCTTAGTGATCTTTTACTTTCTTCCTGTATGATGTTCTTGATGTCATCCCACAACTCTTCTGGTCTCAGTCATCAGTGCAAATATAACAAATGTGCTCTTGAGCTGCCCCCTAAACTCAGGTGGGATATATTAAAAGTCAAATTTTATCTCCTGTGGATTTGTTTTAATTTTCTTCAGCTTTGGCCTGAACTTGCATATAAGCAACTGATCTGCATATAAGCTCCATGGTCTGCCCCTGGTCTTGTTTTGGCTGATGATATGGAGCTTTTTCACTGTCTCTTCCTACAGATGTTGTCAATTTGATTTCCTTGTATTCTACCTGGTAAGATCATTTTTTATGTTGTTTAAAAAGATATTTGCAATGAATATTTTGTAATAATATTTACAAAAAAAGATATCTGCATTAGAATTTGCAAATTCCATCGTGTGATCTCTAGTATCATTTCCTGTGCTTGACTACTGTTCTAAACATTGTCCATTCAAACTGACCTGCAAAAAACTGTGTGATAATCTGCTTGAATAAAGATTACAGCCAAGAAAACATTATATTAAAGCCTCACTATGCGTTGGAATCCTGGATGGCAATGGATTACACATAATAAATAGCTTTTACACATATTACCTCATTAAAATACCACAGTACTTTGGGGGAATTTTCACACTTGATCTCAAGAAAATCAAGATACACAAAGTTTAAATGACTTGGTTAGGGCTATCTAGGTAGTAAGTGGCAGGACTAGGAATAGAACCCAGTCTTTTGATGGGTGTAAGGTAGGAATGAAGGAGCTCTGGTAGCATAGCAGTTACGAATTGGGCTGCGAACCTTAAGGTCAGCAGTTCGAAACTTCCAGCTGTTCCACGGGAGAAAGATGAAGCTTTCTGCTCCCGTAAAGATTTACAGCCTGAGAAACTCTGTACAGGGTCACTATGAGTTGGGACCCACTCCATGGCACATAACCACCACCACCAAGGTAAGAATGAGGCTTTATAGACAGAATTCAAATCTTAATTATATTTGTTTGTTGTAAATGAGGCAACTACTTGACCTCCTTAAGTACTTTTGGAATCTGCAAAATCCAGGAATAAGAAGATTTTAATTTTATAAATAATAGGTTGTTATTAAGTGCCGTCAACTTGGTTCTGACTCATAGTGACCCAGTACAGGGTTTCCAAGAAGCGCCTGGTGAGTTTGAACTGTTGTCCTTGTGGTTGCAACTGACCTTGTAGTCTAGTGCTTATCCTATAGCCCCACAACAGGACTACATAAACAATACAGGGACAATAATTATTGAAGTACTTAGTGCTAATGACACATGATAGTAGTCTTTTCTCTTTACTACTCTATTTCAATCTTTCATTTGAGAGGGAAAAAATACATAATGAGAATTTAAAGGTAGGTAAGATTTCCCTTTATGAGTTACATTTCAAACTGTAATATTTATTTACATTTTTATTCTTTTTCACATTTCTTCTCTGTAAATGCTATGTTGTTGTTGTTGTTATGTGCCGTCGAGTCGGTTCCGACCCATAGCGACCCTGTATAGGGTTTCCGAGGGTGTAAATCTTTACGGGAGTAGAAAGCCTCATCTTTCTCCCGCGGAGCAGCTGGTAGTTTCGAACCGCTGACCTTAAGGTTCGCAGCCCGATTCATAACCACTACACTACCAGAGCTCTATCCTACCATAAATTCCTTTTCTGATCTTTTGACTCCTTGAATAGGGAGTACTTAAACTTGTCAAGCTCACCCTCATGTCATTTCACCTTTAACCCTTCTTTGATCCTGCGATCTTCACATGAAACTCCAGTTAATGTATAAGCATGAGCCCTCACATAGAGCACTGGACTGGTAACTGCAAGGTCGGCAGTTCAAACCCACCAGCAACTCTGGTAAACCCTATGTTGTTATTGTTAAGTGCCATGTATAGGGTTTCCTAGGAATGGCTGGTGAACTTGAATTGCAGACCTCGCGGTTCAAAACGACATAACAGCTCAGCATATTAACATACAGAGCCACACCAGGACTCCAAGAAAACCCTATACGAAGTCGGTATTACTCAGAACTGACCTGACAGCACACAACAGTAACATGTAACTCAGCTACGGCTACGGCTACATATAAGTACTAATAGAATTGATTCTATTACTTTTTGTTACTGTTATTTGTCCCAAGACTTCTGTATTTTATGACTGTGTGTCATGGAGTTGGTTCTGACTCATAGCGACCTTGTACGTGTTTCTGAGGCTGTACATGTTTATAGGAGCAGAAAGCCTTATGCTTCTCCCACCGAACCACTGGTAGTTTTGAACTGCTGACCATAAAATTAGCAGTCAGACTCATAACCAGTACACTACCAGAGATTTTGTATGTGGTAGCTTCAACAGCTATAACTTTAAAATGAGGAAGCCCTTCTCTCTGTGCTGTTGGAGGATTAAATGGATAGCATACGTAAAACAGCTAGCAAAGAGCCAGGATTATTAGAAGGGGTTTAATGAATGCTAATTCAACATGAGACCTAGTATGATAAAATAGCATTTTCAAATTAAAACCACATCAAATATTAGTGATAGGATAAGAGCAAATAGATCACTGCTGTGCTGGGTAAAGGTGCCCTATATTTACATAATTCCTTAGAGAGTCATGAGGATTAGCTTTGCTTCAAACCTTATTTTAATTAACAGCATAGAGATCAAACTTTCCACACAGGAAGTAGTTTATATTTGTTTTATATCACAGATGCACATTCATAGGATCTAAACATTCCATTCCTTGGCTAAAGATGTAACAAGCTACTTCAGCAAACCTGAGTTTGCTTAATCATTTAAAATGACATACCAAAGGAATGAAAAGGCTAAACCATGCGTGGATACCAGTGAATGAAGTTAACTGGAAGGAATCCACCTTTACATTTTTAAAAGGGCAACCAATGGCTTCATTAGACAGGCAGGATATAAACCAAAATAGTCCCTGTCTATTATTTTTGCAGATGAACATATGAAGAAATAAAGTGTTTATATCCATGTGTAACCTCATTTTGGTAACTTCACTGTTCATCAGTGAAAGCAACTTGCAGAGTACTTAGCCAACTTATCTTGTAAAACAATGTCAAGCCCCACATATATCTGAGCATGTGGGTTTGTGTTTGTGTGAACATGGAAAAGGTATGAAAGGCTCATGACAGGCTGTCATGATGAAGACATGAGGGGTTGTTCTGGAAGGAGTTTAGGGGAGATTTTTGTTTCTCAGACATCTTTGTATTATTTTATCAGATACAAAGAACATATATTACTTAGGAACAAAAACATCTAAAAAGAAAGTAAATAAATTTCTCATTAATTATTTGATCCAGGTATTTGTCACATAGCATTTCTAGAAAGTTTACAGGTGACATTTTAAGTAAACTCACTGGTCTTCTCTGAACTGGCAGACCTGACTTTTTCAGAGGTGTGCTGGCTAAATGTGGCTAAAGTGGAATTTGTTCTGCTTTTCTGCACTCTAAGCTAGAATCCAGCCCTGCTCCCCTGTGGGGTTACCAGGATATATTAAATTCAAATCATGCAGTGTTTCCTTCACCCTTTTCCATTTTACTGTCTCCAGTTATTGCACCAGAGGGCAGAGAGCAGGTTGATAGGATCCCAAATTCCACTGGATTGTGACTGATCATTGGCAAGAACATGGGATGTAGAGTCAAAAGACCAGCGATTGATTCCTGGTTCTTTGACTAATCAAGTAAAATACCTTTGCTATTCCATTGTTTTCATTTTAAACTTTAGCACTATCTTCTGTTCTTCAATAATAGTAGCTAACTTACAGCATGGCTGTAAAGCTCAAATGAATCATATATGGAAAGACTTAATAAATTGCAAAAGGATGACTAAATGTACACAGTTTTACTATTGTTTCACCAAGACTGTGAGTTTCTTTCTTAAATGAAATACTATGACATATTTTCAAGTATTTGCAAATTTCCACTTTAGCAGAACTATAAGTCTGAATGACTCGTGGTAGCTTTAGTTCATTCTCAAAACAACGCATTAAACAAATGTGATTTCTTCTTGTAAATGCCAGCAAAACCCAATTAGCCAAGAAGCATATCTGACCTGGTATAGTCGTCTTCAACAAGCATGTGCTTTGGAATTGGTGAGTACCTTCCTGGAGAGATGGGTGGCAGGGAAGTTTTGTATTCTAAAGTGCCATTGTTGCCAGAGAGTAGATGATTTTCCATTGGTGGAGAATAAGCTAAGGGGTAAAAAGAAGAAGGAACCTTTTAAATAAATGACTTAATGTGTTATGCTATTCACATTCAGAAGGTGTGTTGAAAATAGAAAAGGTTTTGCTGCATGCCAAGGATTTGTTGTCCTCTTAGTGAGGGTAACTGCTATTTGTTTATATTTAATATGTACCACCATATGTTGACCTTTTAGGATAGGAAAGACGTAATAACAGTTCTATAGACAAACCCAGATAGTATAATTAGGTGAATAGAAGAACTGGAGGAGAGATTCAGCATACACATTTTCAGAATGATGACTAATTTTCTATTGAAATAAAAATGTTAACTTTCTAATTGCAGCCCTCATGTTCTTTTCACATGATTAATATCAACTCAAAAAAAAAAAAAAAAAAAAAAAACAAAACTCATAGGAACAAATTTTTCTCTACGACTCTCTCAAAATACACCCAGAGGAATTTCTCCAGACCAAGAACTTTGACTTTTCTTTTCTATTCCACCACTCTAAGTCAGATTTCCATCATCTCCCAAAAACAACTTTGTTGAAAATAGAAAAGGTTTTGCTACATGCCAAGTGTCTCTGAACTGTGTCTCCTTCCCTGTTAGCCCCAATCCATTTAATACAGTGAGATAAATTAAATCCTCCTGAAACTTGTTCTGGTCATGTAGTTCTCTTATTTAAATATTCTCTGCTGCCACCATTGTATTGGATATAGCAGAAACTCTTTATGAAATCAATCTGATCTCTCCACAACAAATTTGCTATGGTCTTCAAACAAAGCCATTGCTTTCTAGCTCTGTTTCTTTGTTACACAATGCCAACCACTTAGAATTCATCGCCTACCCTTTTAAGCTCTGAACCCACAAAGTCATTTGAACCACAACATAGGTGGTTCAAACCCACTAGCCACTATTACTCAGAAGCCCTATACACGGTCGTTAAGAGTTGGAATCAAACTCAACAGAACTAAACAACAAAAACCCATTCTCTGGACTGCTGGTGTGACACTGTAGGATAATCACTGGACTGCTAATTACAAGGTCAGCACTTCAAACAAGGTCAGCAGTTCAAACCCACCAGCCATTCCTTAGAAACCCTATTCAGGTACAGTATGAATTATCACTAACTAGACAGGACTTAACAACAATAATAACCCTTTCTCTAATGTTGAAATCTCACTCATTCTTCAAGATGCTCTTCAAATGCTATTCTTTACAAAGATTTTTCTGATCTTCAAAATACCAGTGATACCTCCTCCCCTCCAAAGTACAGCTATTTTTATCTCTCACATGGAATATGCCTTTCTCTTACTCTGCCACATATCACTGCTAGTCATGTATCTGAATTAGTTTTAAACCAAATTCCTTAAAGGTCATTATTGTATCTTTTTTGCATCCCACATACTACCTTTCAAGGCGTCTAGCACCTACTGAAGTTACTCAGTACATACTTGTTGAATTCATTAAAATGGCTTTGCTCCTTCTTTCTTCTCTTTGATGTTGACCTTTACACCTTTCATGAAATGACTCACAGAGTCTCAGAGTTGGTTTTTATAAACTCATCAACTCTGAAGAACTCTGAATATTAAAATCCCTGTATATCCTAAGAAATTGACCTCAGCTTGCAGGCTACTTGAAAGAGACATATTTTGGGGCAAATAGTTTTAGAATCATCATTTAAAATGCAATAGCTTACTTAATGGAGAGGTAACAAAATTATTCCACCCTTAAATGTCTCTCAACAGGAGCATCTGAAGCTGAGAGAGGTTAAATGCCTTGCTTAAGACCACAGCACTAATTAATGGCAGGACCTGAAGCACATTCTGAGTTTCCAATCCCATAAATGGAGTCTCAAAATTTCAGAATCAGCAAGCTTATTGATGCTGGCTAAACTGTCCCCTAAATTAAATCAGGAAAATAACTGCTTCTAAATCTAGTCTCTAACTACAGAAGCTTAGATAAAGTTTTTGTTGGCCTATTAAAAAGAAGAGAAAACATGGGCTTATATAACAATGAATTCATGAATACCCCCAGTATAGTGTCATCCCCAAACCACTTCTACTACCATTTTGTTGTTATTTTGTTAAGTGCCATGGAGTTAGTTCCAACTCACAGAGGTCCTATAAACTCATAGCGATCCTATATAGGGTTTCCAAAGAACAGCTAGTGACTGAAGATTATCTCTAGCTTATCTACCAAAATAACAAAATTAAGTAAGGGCTAGGGCTCTGATGATGACATTGAAGATGATGATCTCATTAATCAAGCAAAAGATCCCCTTCCACTGGGAGAAGCATTTTGTTGTGTGCGGTGGGGTCAATTTCGACTCATAGCAACCATTTATAGGGCTCCCAAGGAGCAACTTGTGTGTTTGAACTACTGATGTGATGATTCAAACCAACCTCGTGGTCCCGTGCTTTATCCCACAGTGAACACCAGGGCCCCGGAAGAAGTATGTTGTGTGTGCCATGGAGTCGGTTCCAACTCTTAGCCACTCTTTATGGGGTTTCCAAAGAGGAGCTGGTGAGCTTGAACCACCAACTCTGTGGTTCAAACTGTCTTTGCAGTCCAGAGCATTAACTCACAGCACCATACTAGGACTCTGGAAGAAGCATAGAGTTGGTTTAATTTATTAGCCTCTATAGGAGCTCTGGTGTAAGGAGCTCTGGTAGCGTAGTGGTTA